TACCGTGGTGAGCCACACAAGTGCTACGTTGGCAGTGTGGTTTCTGCTTACCTTGACACCCCACTCTTTGCATTCCAAAGCCGGTTTGACTCAGACCAGCGGGAGGGTGAGATGGATGAAGCGTGTCGAAATTCAGAAGCTTGCGCTGCAAGCCTCACTATGCTTTTTTGATTGTTTCCCGGTCAATTTTTCACACATCCAGCGACCTAGCCTCCATTCGTTGGAGTCCAACGAAGTCTGGTGCAGAATGCAGGCAACCATTTGGATGTCGATATTCAAAAATCTGGCAAAATGAGGCGCGTCGAACCGCTGAGCGCCCTGATTTAATCAGGAAAGTGAGCTGTGAAATGTCGTAAGATATCGCAAGTATTGGAACAGGATGGAGCAGGTATCATTCGATTTAACCAGTGATTACTGCTAGCTTTGGCTCAAAGCAATTATTTGGTCATGTCTGACATGATTTTTAATGTCTTTCTTTCCCGATCAGCTAGAATGCAACCCTGGTGCAGTGGCAGATGTGACTGCCTGTACGGAAGCTGTGCTGAAGCCTGACTTCACTGCCTTCACGGCGCTGGCGCTGGCGCTGGCCACTGGCCTCGGCGCCTTCTGCCTCACCGCCGTGCTTGGCTTTCTGCTGCGTGGCCGCCTCACCCGCCCTCAACGCACAGCGGCCTCACCGTCGGCCTCTGTGGCCTCGGCCGTCGGCCGGCGTGGGCTCCAAGGGGAGGGGGCACCTTTCCCTGAGGCCGTCGCCCGGGTGGAATTTTCAGTTCGACATATGTGAAGAATGGCAGGTTTCCGCGCAAAGTTGAAACCGCAGGTCGCTCTGCGTAGGTTTGTGTAGGCCTTTGAGAACCGGTCTTTGGTCGGGTTCAGGGGCGAAAGGTCCACAATATTGTTTGTTTGTTTTTTTTGCGAGGACAAATGGACTTTTGCAAAGGTACTAGTATAAATGGTTAGAAAAAGAGGGCATCGCATCGGTTTCAACAGCCGGACGAATAGCTAAAGTTCTTGGCTGTTTTCGTCCGCTGCGGCAGGTGAGCGTTCTCCAGCAGTTCCTCAAACAAGCCCAGCTTCACCCAGAGGCTGAGGTCGCCAGGGCCGTTGGTGTCTCGTCATTGTCCCGTCAGGATCTAGAAGCAGCTGCAAGGAGCCTTGCCCAGCTGCTGCAAAGCGGAAACGAAGGTGAAGATGCAATTGGAGAGGGTGGAAGGCAAGGCTCGCTGGTGGCGATTTTCTTGGAGCCAGGCCCACGTCAGGTTGTTGCCATTTTGGGCATTTGGCTGGCTGGCAAGGCATGGACTCCCCTTGACCGGCAGTCGCCTTTTCAGCGAGTTGCTGAGATGCTCCAACTGGTCAAGCCATTTGGTTTGGTCTGTGATGAGACGGCCTTCTTAGATGCTTCCGATGACTCGCTTCGGGTGGTCTGCGCAGATCCTCGGGATTCGAGGGGCGTGGAATGGACTGTGTGGACCCGAGCAGAGAAGATGACGAAGTCACTGAAGTCAGAGGCAGTCACTGAGCTTAAACTCACAGCAGACAGTGTGGCGCAGGTGATTTACACCTCCGGGTCCACAGGTGTGCCTAAGGGCGTGGTCTACTCCCACTCCAGGCTTGCACACTCCTCGCACTTCTTCGGCGAGCAGTGTGGAGTGGGTGCTGGTACGAAGTGTTTGCAACGTACTGCCATGATTTGGTCTGTTTACCGACACGAGATCTATCCGGTGCTTTGCAAAGGTGGTACCATCATTTTCCATGGCCAGCCACCTGGTGCTCAAGGTCAACCAGCGGGTGAACCGCTGCGAATGGCCCAGGTCATCGAGTCTGAGGCCGTCAATCTCTTCGTGACCACCCCCACAGTGCTGGAGCTTGTGCTCGATGCTTCGGCTGGGCTTCCATCAGCACCTTTGGGGTCGTTACGACACGTGGTTTGCATGGGAGAAGCGTTGCCTCGGAGACTGGCGCAAAGCTTCTACGACCAAGTCCCTGGTGCTTGTCTTTGGAACTTCTATGGCTCCACGGAAACCGAGAACGCCACCTTCGAGGTGCCAAGGACAACTCAAGACGTGTCCAGTTTTCCAACTCAAGTGTTTCGTCTGTGTCTGACTCCTGATCTGTTTAGGACTTCAACATCACAGACTTGACAGTGTTTTTCGCTATGACTTGTGCGTCCATTGGTCGTTGTTTCCTCCATATTCAGGGGAACATCATCAAACCCTTGTCTTGTCTATCTAAAAACATGTCAACAATCTTTCACCATTTTTCCCGAAGCAGGCAGTTTCCTGTTTGCTTCGCTCAATGCTTTTAAGTGTGTGCTTTGGCTGGGCTGTGCCCGTCTCCCCCTGCCAACCTCTGCCGACCTCAATCCTTCGCGTTTGTCTTCCAATCTGAGCTGCTGCGTCAATCCTTTTTTGTAGCTGCTGCTGCTAGAACCTGCTTCTTGTCATGGCCGAAAACTGTTTGGGGTCTACGGTCCGTGGTGTAATTGGTAATACTGTACTAGTCAAGTCTAATGTCCGGTGTTTAGGTTGGTTCCTTTTGCCTTAATTATACAGTACATATTCAGTCTGGCATTGGTTCTTTTTTTTCAACAGAACCAGCAAGCCTTCCAATGGGTTTCTCCAAATATCTTGTCCATCCGTTTATCATTCCCCACAGACCCTTGTCGCCCGTCCACCTGCCCGTCTCAATGCCTGCAATTTTCTGTTTCCTATGTACTTTTTTCATCCACTGCATAGTCCTGTTCATCTCCGGGCCTTACGTCGACGCATATTGCGTAGTTTGTTGTAATCACTATTTTTCAACACCCCTTCAAATTGTACATGTTTCAGGGGGTTCAACTTATATCCAGGTGCCTTACTAGTAGTAACAGGTGCCTTACTAGTAGTAACAAGAAGCTATTAGAAACAAGTGCCACGCTAGTAGTAACAGGTGCCTTACTAGTAGTAACACCCTTTGCGCGGGGAGACGCATCAAAAAAGAAATATAAATGCATCAATAAAAAAATATAAATGCATCAAGAAAAAAATAAAAATGCATCAATAAAAAAATAAAGAAAAGAAACAAAGAAAGGCAAGAAGGCAAGGAAGGAAGGAAGGAAGGAAGGAAGGAAGGACGGAAGGAAGGAAGGTACGAAGCCAGGACGGAAGGAAGGAAGGAAGGAAGCAAGGAAGCAAGGAAGGATGGATGGAAGGAAGAAAGGCAGCAAGGCAGGAAGGAAGGTTCGCTTTCGGTGGCTCTTGGGTTTTGGTGGCTTTTGCCTTTGGTTTTCGATGGCTTTTGTAGGTGGCCCGCTTGCGGAGCTGTGCTGCCTGCAATGGCAAGTGTTGTCATGTATTCTATGTTAATGCATTGTTTGATGCATCTATGTATTCTATGTTAATGCATTTTTTGATGCATCTCCCAAAAAAACACACACAACAACAAGGACCACTTTTGAACTCCTGTTCTATCCCCCATTTGGCCAGCTACTCAGCGAGCCAGCTTACGGACCTGTGCTGCCTGCAGTGGCCAGGAAAGCTGCAAGTTGACTCACCCTTTGTTGCGCCACCCGAGGGTAAAATTTGGAGAAGAATGTTGCCATTTCAACTTGACTCACCCTTTTGCGCACAGGGTAAAATTATGAGAAGGAAGTGGTCACTCCAACTTGACTCATCCTTTTGTGGCCAATGCGGGGTAAAATTTAGAGAGGGAAGCGGCCATGCCGAGTTGACCCACCCTTTTGTGGGCCACGCAGGGGTAAAATTGAGAGAAGGATGTTGCCATTTCAACTTGACTCACCCTTTTGTGGGCCATGCGGGGGTAAAATTTAGAGAGGGATGTTGCCCTTCCAAGTTGACTCACCCTTTGGTGAGCCACCCGAGGGTAAAATTGTGAAAAGAAGTTGCCATTTCAACTTGACTCACCCTTTTGTGGGCAGGGTAAAGTTTAGAAAAGGAAGTGGTCATTCCAAGTTGACTCACCCTTTGGTGAGCCACTGGAGGGTAAAATTTAGAGAGGGAAGTGGCCATGCCAAGTTGACTCACCCTTTTGTGGGCCATGCAGGGGCAAAATTTAGAGAAAGATGTTGCCACTTCAACTTGACTCACCCTTTTGTGGGCCATGCAGGGGGATCAATTTAGAGAAGAATGTTGCCCTTCCAAGTTGACTCACCCTTTGGTGAGCCACCCGAGGGTAGAGTTTAGAGAAGGATGTTGCCATTTCAACTTGACTCACCCTTTTGTGGGCAACGCAGGGGTAAATTTTAGAGAAGGAAGTGCTCATTCCAAGTTGACTCACCCCTTGGTGAGCCACTGGAGGGAAAAAATAGAGAAGGAAGTGGCCATTCCAAGTTGACTACACTTTTAAGTGAGCAATGCAGGGGTGAAATTTGGAATACGCAGCAACATTCGGGAAAGGGCCTGTGTGCGCACTTGATTCCCCCCGATGGGGTGTGTGCACGCTGAGTCAACAAGTGTGTGCGCAGATGAGGCACAAGTGCTGATAAAATATGCGGCGCCGCCCTTCTGTGAGCCACCCGAATGTACAGTAGTAAAGTTTAGAGCGCAGAAAGCCATTCCATTCTAGCACGCCAGTAAAATTTTGAAGAGGTGAGGCGACCGTAAGGCCCCGGGTCCTTTGGTCCTCTGTTCCCCTGGCCTCTGGATCTGAACCTCTGCAAGATTTAGTGGGTCTCTAG